ATATGAATAAATACATAGGTTGAAAATTTCTAATTGTTATTACTAACTCACAAGATGATATTTACCAAAAAAACTTTTACCAAACAATTGATTTACCAAGAGAACAATCACTTTTCCGATTTTCTCACTCGTTAGATCTATTTATACCGCTTGACGCTTCAAACCAGACTGAGTTCAGCTTTGAAAATCTTTTCCTCCAGATTTTATGATTATAAATCTTACTATACAGTGCGTGCTATGTTCGCATACCGACCTTTCTTCTACAAACTTGCCTTATCGCTCTTGTCAAATGGCGCCTTTGAAATGCTCGGCCGTCCTGAGCACGCCTCTCACGTTCTCGTCAAAACCCGCTGACATTTCTTGTATATATCTTAGTAATTTTACTATATTTTGATTTGATTTCTTGTGCCTTTTCAAGAGAAAACTTCAGGGAAACATTGCATGTCTCAGAAAGTTGCGCTGAAATAACTCAGTTCCCCGTAATCACTAATAAACTTTAATGTCCCACGAGAGGGGACATCCGAGTGATATACTAGAATTACGATGTCCCACGAGAGGGGACAGCGGAGTGCAAAGGTTTAAGTCAAGAGAATCGATATCTTTACAAATAAAAGAATTTGTTAATTATAATTCCACGCTTGTGTTCACCACCGACCTGCCCATTCTATGTCCGAGCGGCCCGAACAGATTAGTTCCAATTAAATAGCTGATGCTTGCTGGCAAAAACGCGGCGCCTTGTTCCCATCTGCTTGCACCCATCGTGTCCATCATCCAAATCGGGAGACTGGGTTCGAGCATAGCTATGCCCATGTTGGCGAACGTAATGGCACCTGACACGGGAGATAGATTTTAGGGAGACAGATAGAATCCAGAATAGAATTAAACGGTATCGACGAATCGAATGAAAAAAATTCGGGCGAATGGACGCACCCGCAGCCAGCACGATGTAGGGATCGGTGACCAGTGCTTTCAGCGAAGGTGGGTCCGCTTCGGTGTAAACGACGGACGGTTGAAGCACCAGAAGTTGAAGAACTGAAACATTTTTGACGTTCACTTCTTCACCGATGATTTGAATAAATTCAAAAACCAACTACATATATGGCATTGCCAGAAGCTAGAACGTTTAGTTTGTGTTTACTTTGTATGTTGTAATCATGTGGTTATCATTTTTATTAGTATTATTATTAGGTTGAATTTTTGTAGAAAAATTAAAGGGGCATCTTGCTCGTTTATGCTAAATACAATACATTAAATTTTCTCAAAAAGCTCTGCACGCTTCGAGCGTAGCGAAGCAAGCAGGCAAGATACTTACGACCATCGCCGAGGGCTAACGCTGAAAGTACCAAGAACGGAGCCGATTTGCCAACGAACTCGTACATGATACCTCCGAAGGGCGGTCCGATCAGAACACCAAGGGCTAAACCACCAAGCGCTATGCCCATCGCGTTTCCACGTTCCTTGTCGTCTTGGTACCTTTCGGCCAACATGCCCATACCTGCGGACACGATACAAAATCGGTTGCTTCCGGCCGATAGGATTTTCGCGAAGGAAACGATCTACGCGACCGTAATTACACCTAGTGCCGAATAGTTACCTGACACGCTCGAGCACGAGGACCCAACACCTTGCAACGCCCGGGCCAAGAAAAGGATGCCGTAACTTCGTCCGAACGCAAATATCAACGTGGAAAGGAACATGATGATGAAGCCGGTGAACATGGGTATACTGTAACCGATCCTGCAAGCAAGGGCATCGTTTCATTTCGATACACACGTATACCGCGTGTACTTGTCCATGTGGTAGTCGGGATCGCGAGTCATATCGTAACGGAGCGGGCGTAACTCGTAACAGTTGTGTTTTACTCACTTGTGCGTAAGCGGACCTACGATCGGATTGGCAAGCAGCTGCACGAAAGCTTTCGAAGCAAACATTATTCCGACGGCGACGGTCTCTTCCAACAGTTCTCGATGCCGTTGTTCTTTCTCTCTCCATTCCGTCAAATTCTCGATGGCTGCGTCGCTTTCTACACATTCGGTAAGTCGTTGGCAGGGCAGAAACGCGAGGAAAATCGGGAAATAAGTGAGCCGTTTATTTTGAAAGTGGCATAAGTCACTTTTTCAAAAAAATCAAGTTAATGGTGATACTAATTACAATTGAACGGTATCTTTTCATTTAAAAAAATTTGCAATCAATAAGTTGAGAACTATTGAGATTTGTTCCAGAGAAGTTTTGCTAATTAACGGTATAACAAACATGTTTATTTTGAAAGTGGCGTAAGTCGCTGTACTCAGGAAATTAATTGCGGGGTTTAGTGTAAAGGAAATAGAAACGTGTGATAAGTGTGTGTGAAGTATTGTTTTGAATCATTTTCAGTATTTTTAAGAAAGTTGTCATCACTGGACTTATTTTTATAAGTGCGAAAGAATAGTGCAGTTTTGTAAATTATATTATATAATACATATATATTATATATTATATTATGTTATACGCTGGATCTCGTCCTGTTTCTTCAGCAAAATACAAAGACATGATGGACTTGCTTAATTATATACCCCCAATATACCGCAGTTATTTTAAAAATTTGAAACAAAACACGATTTCCGAGGACTTAATCACTCCTATTGATGACGAAAATTCAATTGAACTGATGTATTTTCATACAAATTACTTATACTTATGTTTCAAAATGTACTAATTATTTTTGTATTTTATGAATATTAAAATAAAAAATACTTAAATCAAACCTTTATATTAAATATGTTCATGGTATAAATTATTATTATATATGTAATTTATTCAACAATTTTAGTAAATCACTGCCCTTTCAAAACATCACTTCGGTAAAATACGTCGGACAAAATTAATATATGTCAGTCATTTTTCTAAACTATTTATTTTGAAAGTGGCTTAAGTCACTTTACCGTAATGAAAAGTGGTGATTTTTTAATGTTTATACGAAATTATTTATACTGAGAAAAATATCAGTGTATCCTGAGATAACAAATACAAGTAAATCTTCTCGAAAGATAGCATCCATATTTTTAAACGTGTTAAAACGCAAATCCTTAAATATATCGACTTAAAAACAAAGTGACTTATGCCACTTTCAAAATAAACGGCTCAAGTAATCAAGTTCAATATATGTATACTCACGAATCCGTGACAATTTCAATAACCGAGTTTCATTTCATATGTTTCGATTATTACCCGAAAAAGCAGTAGTGTTTTAACGATTATTAGACTGCGGATTTTTATGCAAAAATGTTTCCATCAGTCGCAAGATACAAAAACCATATAGAAATTTTTTTCTTCCATCAATAATTTCTACAAGCCAGAACAAATATATTGACATTCGTAAATACTTTTAACCTGTCTAATGCTTTGCATGATATATATCTATTAATTTTTGTCATAAATGCATACATTTTTTTATCGGTTTCCTACAACTCTTTAAACATCGATTGCATAATATTATCACAAGTGCAATAACATAATCTAATCTAATGTCTTGCTCCTATCTATAAACTATTATGTATAGAAAGATTTTCCAGTCCGTTTATCAATAAATAATAAATCAAATATACATACGATTGAAAAGTATTCATTCCATATAAGATAGCATTGAACAAAATAAAATAAAAAACTCTCGTTTCTTAACTTTTTTATCTGAGCCTATAAAAAAGAATTCGGTTGACGTTATGAGTTACAACAATTTAAAGATTGCAAAAATCGCAGTTTTATCACGATTTTGACCAAAAACAGGAAGAAATCTGCAGTTTTTTAAATCTTTCAACACCTGTAGCTCGACTCTGGGTTAACTGATTTCGATCAAATTTTCAGCACGCATATGAGTTATCGAGATCTACGAAGGCATTTTAAAAATTTTTTCTAGGCTCAGATAAAAAAGTTTTTTACCCTCGACTTCAATACATCTGATTTATCGTTATCAGATTTTTAAAAGAATTCATCCATCTTTACTGATTTTGACCTTATGTCAGATGCACCAGTTTTATTATGAACATTTTCATTAATCCTTTCAGGTCTCATTTCTGGTAGAGTTACAAGTGTAATTCGTTTCATTTACAATTACGTCTCTAATTACAACGTATGTTTCACTTATCACATCTCGCACATAATAAGCGTTTGGTTCATAGCAAAGTAAAATTCGTTCCCATGATTTTTCATCTTTAGTTTTCCTAACTTTATTGTGAATATGAACAGTTGAACCAAAAATTTTTTAATATCTGAATTTAAATCTCTTACCGTGTCATAATTCAAACGGTGTTTTATTTTTTTTTTTAAAGCTTTAGTTCGAGTCAAATTGATTAGAAATGTAACGGTAAGCACTACTTCTTCCCAAAATACTTTATCTAATTTAGCAACAAAATCTTTAAATACAGAAAATACGTATTTATACGTGATCAGATATGTGACACAATAGTGAATGAAATTATCTGTAACTAATAAAAAATAATTCTTGCTATTAACGGTATATGAAGTAATAGGTAGATATGAAGTAATAGTCCGCAAACGTCAGTGTAAAAAATAAACAATGTCTTATCTTTAGCTTTTTCAAAGTATAATCTAATCTACAAGTAATAATGTAATCACAAAGTATGATGCAATCTACAAGTTACACATAAACCACCATTAGGTTCAGTATTTTTAACTATATCAACAATCATTTGTTTCTCCCTAAACTGCATAAATATTAACTTTTCCGATATCCATCATCTTCTATACCATAATTCATAGTTATTATTGATAGCATTACGAACTTGTGACATTTGATTGTTTATCCTGTTCGTATTAATTTTAAACTCAATGCATATTAAATTATCTAATTAACATGAACATCTTCCTCATCGAAGGTGATGCACATCCTTACCTACTACATCCTCCTTACGGATAATAAATTATATGGGACATCCTAACAGTAGAGCACATCCTCCACATCACCCTCGATCTCAAAGTTGCTTGTCACGTGGATGTTCCCCTCCCTCGTCATTGTGATAAAAGTTTCGGCCTTTGCGATCCTTATAGGTGGCTTCAACGTTTCGAAGGTTATAAAATAATCGTCTCTACTTATAAAATGGTCTGACGCCCCAGCGAGTCTAGTAGACTCCAGATGTTTCCAAATTTCTGGCTATAAATGTAAAATTTGAACCTTCTGCATGCGATCCGCTCGGTTCTGCCACTTGAACTGTCTGCGCCGTCGTTTTCTTCTCATCATGGTATCGTTGATTTTTCTTATAGTGGAAAACAGTCCTTAATTTTGTGTCCTCTTCTTTCACAATGATGACACTTTGATATCTGTCCACGTTTGTTATTTTTTAAAGATTGGTTTAACGCATTCATTTTATTTCTACTATTTTTAAAAAACTTTTACACTTCGATCGCCATTATTACACCGTCACAATTAGATGCGATGCAATGTTAACAATAGATGCGTCACCGATAAGGTGTTCCAATTTTGCACCCGCGGAACCCGATAAATATTCGATTATGGTGTTTCTTGCAATCCTTTATGTCGCTAAATTAAATGTCACTTATATGCATTAATTAGCGATAGTTTATATGCAGTTTATAAACTTACAACACAGCTTTTAAATAAAAAGTACAATATCTAAACGTTAACTAGGCCCATAAACTATTGGAAACGGGTGTAGAATAGAACATACACTTTAATACATACTTGTTGTGGTAGGAACTTTACTTCACGACACTTTATTTCACGACACTGCGGATAGCTCTTTACGGAACGAATCTTTAGCAGCGACTGACTTTGAAGTCCCGAAAAGAAAACTCGAGTCTCCATGTATACAGGGTGTCCCAAAAATGTCTCACAATCTGGAAATAACGGGTTCCTCGGATCATTTGAAGCAACTTCTTCCTTTACAAAAATGTTCTCCGAGGCACCGTTAACGAGTTATTAACGAAAAACAGTGACCAATAAGAATCGAGTACGGCTGACGCGAGACGACCCAGCTAACCAGCGCACGAAACCCAGTTCCGCTCATTTGCTCGGTCGCCTCGCGCCAGTGAGCTCGCCTCTCATTGGTCACTGTTTTTCGTTAATAACTCGTTAACGGTGCCTCGGAGAACATTTTTGTAAAGGAAGAAGCTGCTTCAAATGATCTGAGGAACCCGCCACTTTCGGATTGCGAGACATTTTTGGGACACCCTGTATGTATATTTAGGATCTGTCATGGTTAGGCCCTGCAATTCGAGCCTTGAGACAAATCATTGATACTTTGCATATGTTTCTATTTCGCTTAACGGGACAGTTCTGAGAACATTGATTTGTTTTTGCTCTCGAACAATGAGACCATTGTATTGGTCATGTATCGATGATCCAATACGATAAATACAATAACTATAGACGCCGGTGAAACTGGTAGCGAACGTGTTAAACAATCTTCTATCGTCAATGTACGCTACTCATTTTAATGTCCACCTCCGTCCTTTTAAGAATACATATGTATTATCATCATTATCATTTATTACTGGACATCGTATCCTTATACAAAATAAAAACTTTCTTCATAAATTTCAACAAACAAGAACAAGATAGAAATTTCGTTCGTTGCTTAACGCTTTGCATTCGAAACCATTTTAACCCTGAATTTAAAATAGTTCTTCTGACTTACAGTATTTCCACTTTGTATGACTCAAGTGTATTTTGCATATATGAAATTGAATTTCGTGCAACAATTACACTTTTAACAGTTTTTGAAATACAAACAAGATTGGGCAATCTTAAAAACCTTTTGAAACGTTATTATAACAATTTTAAGTGGCGAGTTGTAGTCATCACTCGAGTGCAAAGGTTTAATAATGTCAGTTAGTTGTTAATACTATGTAGATAATCTTAAACTCTTATAAGCTCTCTGCAGTTTCATATTTCACCAACCTATTTTTATTTTATCATAAATGCATAAAATCCGCAGTCTATTTATTATCATTGTAATTATTATATATTACTGCCTTCCAACATCGTTAATTTTCGAAACTATCTGACATAGATTCGCGAGTATACTTGAGAGTTCTGTTTTTATTTCTCAAAGTACCTTGCATTGGGTTGGCAACTAAGTAATTGCCGATTTGTTCAATGAAATAAAAAATTTTTTTCTACTTGGATTTAATCTGTAATGTACTTTCCATTTTGTTCGATGTCCTTTTGCCATCTCTCTGACAACTTGAAAATTCCACGCTCGTAGAAAGTCTGATCGTTTTCGGCCAAAAACTGAGTTAAGTGAGATTTTACAGCGTCGTCATCATTAAAAGTTTTACCACGAAGGGGGTTGTCCAGGGATCGAAATAAGTGGTAATCCGATGGCGCGAGATCAGGACTATATGGTGGGTGTAACATCGATTCCCAACCAATATCCATCAATTTTTGCCAAGTGGATAAAGACGTGTGCGGCATTGTCCTGGTGGAAAATGTCACCTTTACGATTGACCAATTCTGGTCGCTTTTCCTTGACCGCTGCATTCAATTTGTCCAGTTGCTAACATTCGCGGATAATAAAAAATAACATAATAATAATAATAATAATAATTTTATAATATAACATTTACGGATGTCATAAAATGGGAGTGAGAGACATCTATAACTGAAATCGGCAATTACTTAGTTGCCAACCCAAATAGAAAGTTCGAATTTGAAAACAATCGACGTTCAAACCTGTTTGCAAGGTACTCGATCCGATCCCTAGAAATGAGATCCGCGAACTCTTACCGGTCGGATCGTTGACAGGAAGGATCGGCGGGTAGAGAAATTCCAGCTGTGAATCGTTCGATCTGTTCGGCGCGCAAGGACATTTAGGCGTGGTGGTGAAACTCGGGTTCGCCGTCGTGGTCCTGATTCCGTTCGCGGCCATCCGCTGATTGTTAGCGGCCACTGCTCGGGCATGATTCTCTGCTTCGAGGTGCTGGCTCAGGGTCGAGTTCGGGTGCTTGATGTCGTACAGAAATTCCGGTATGATCGGAACTGCAACAACAAGACTCTTCCATCTTCCGCAGTTTCGAGACGAGCTCGCGTTCGACGGGAACGCGATTCGCGAGCCGTGACTTTAACGCGGGGGTGTAACTCAGTGGTAGAGTGTCTGCTTCGCATGCTGAAAGTCCTGGGTTCAAATCCCAGCACCTCCAAACGACATCGATCATTTTTTTTTGTTCGTGGTCGGATTTTTTGATTTCCATTCGACGTGGAGGATCGCGCGGCGGTTGTTCGAGTTCGCAGCGAAGTCGATCGAACCGCGTGCGAAACTGACGCACGAAAATTGCCCGGTCGGATGACGAAACACGGAAACGGGAAGCGGTAACCGAGGCTGCGAGGCCCGGACGAACGTAGGTACTCGACAATGATCCGAGTTCTGTTTAGCAAACGAAAAGCGCATCTCATGATTTGCTAGCGCGCGCGCGCGCGCAGGTGGGGAGAGCACGAGGAAAGCGCGAGAAAAGCGCGAGGAAAAGCTGTTTCGTATACGCTCCATAAATGTATGACCACTTATCTGGATTGCCGGAACGCATTGGACGTCCCCTCGCGTATATTACGTTTTCGACGTCTCCGAACCCTGGAGGGACCTGCTGGAAACTCGTGCCTCGTGAATTAAACATCTTACCGGGCGATAAAAGAAATCAAAGCACATCGGACCATATCCGACGCGCAAAGAGGGGGAAGTTAAACCGCTGGAAAATCCGTAACCGTAAAGTCCGACCGAGTCGAATCGAGCCGAGCCGAGTGTCCAGCAGAGTATGCCGGCTTGCCCTCTGATCCTCTCGGTCTTCCGGTTCTTTCATCGCGGAAAGGACCTCTTTTTGGCGCTAATTCGATCTGCGGCGAACGCGACAACGGCACACGGGAAAGAGAAATAGGCTGAAGCGAACGAACGGCCGAGCATAGATCAAGATTTATTCTCGCGTCGCGTTCTTTCGGCCACATTCTACGGCACGATGCTTACCCACTGCGGTCAGCAGCATGTTATCCAGAAGCAGGGCGATGGCAACGATCACGAGAATCAGTCTGCGCGATTCCCGGCATCGTTGCAACCAACCTGTCCATTCCACGCCACTCATCTTCACCTTTCGCACCGCGTTTGTCTTCCACCTCTTCCGTCGTACCACCTGAAATATAAAAACGCACGATTCTGACAGATGGACGAATAGAGAGATCGAGTTCGATTCGTGCGTCGCACAGTGATGCGATCTTATGGACGTTCGAGACAGTAATCATAATTTCGAAACTAATTAATTTTCGATCCAAGTAAGTTAATAATTTTGTCAAGGACATGCAAAGATGAATCGATTTCTACATAAATAATATGCAGTCGTGTTAAAGAAAAGTGCAATGATTTTGTTCTTTTGTTGAATAAAAATATCTTCTAGCAACATTTAGTGTTGTAATTTTTTTTTTAAGAATTATTGGATATACGAAAATATTTGAAAAAATCAGACATCAATAGCATATTGTTCATAGAAGGTTGAACAATTTCTCTAAACCTTTTTAAACTTCTTCTGTGCGATCGTTTAATTGGAACGTGTTCCGAATGAAACGAAACACATCCATTTGTTTGTCATTAGGTAACGAACAAACCCATTTCTTAATAATGTCTTGATTTGTTCTCGAACGCGCTACTAATAACCATGATTAGAAAGAAAATTTTGTATAATAATGTCGAGGACAGATCAAGGAATAGTTTTCCGTTGAGAGATCCCAGGACATGTTTTAGCAATTTGGAGGAAAGTTAAGTTAAAGATAATCGAACGTACATAGTAAGTCCTCAATGGATGTGTAACTTCGAGACGATAAAACTGAATATACGATAAGTAAATAAACGATTTCACGATCGAAGTAACAAGTGTTTAATATCTTCAACTGAACAATCCATTCATATTTATATTTATCGCCGTGTACTTTGGATAACTCGATGTTAGAAACACTGCGACATACAGTCAATTCTCCCTAATTGAAGCTCAGATTGTACAGAAAAATGGACAATTTGGGAAGAGGAGACACGATTATTCGAGCCTTGCAGCTCGTTTTTATAATTGTTGACAATCGGTAACTATAAAAACCAGCCGCGAGACTCGAATAATCGTATCTCCTCTTCCCAAATTGTCCACATTTGTGAACAATTTGAGCGTCAATTGGGTAGAACTTACTGTAACGAGCAAATGCTTGAAAAAGCAAAGGCAAGTATTGGCTTGGCAGGAAAGTAATTTCGGTATTTCAATGTGAAATAAAATTCAATTTTTTCTATACATGAAATGAACTTTAATTAGTCAAATATTTTCCATTCTGTTCTATGACCTTTTGCCATCTTTCTGGTAACTTCATGATTTCACGCTCATAAAACTTCTGTGGTCCTTATCAGTAGAAAAACTCAATTAAGTGCGATTTGAGGCTATCGTCAATATTAAAATTTTTTCCATTTAAAAAGTTTTGTAAACTTCGAAATAAATGATAATCCGTTGATGCAAGGTCAAAGCTGTATGGTGGATGCGACATCGCTTCTCAACCAAACTCCTATAATTTTGTACGTGTTGCTAAAGATGTGTGAGGCCTCGCATTGACGTGGTGGAACACGATTCCTTTGCGATTTGTCAATTCTGGCCTTTTCATTTTAATTGCTTCCTCCAATTTCATAAGTTGTTGGCAGTAAACATCTGAGTTGATCGTTTGGTTGCTTGAAAGCAGCTCGTAATACACAACATCTTTACAAGTCCCACCAAATTGACAGTATGATCTTTTTCTGACGCAATTCAGCTTTCGATATGGTTTGTGCTGGTTCATCACGCTTGGACCATGACATTTTTCGATTAATGTTATTGTGAACGATCCATTTTTCATCACCAGTGATAATTCGTTTCAAAAAAGGCTCGATTGCATTACGTTTAAAATGCATATCGCAAATACCGATTCGTTGTGTTAAGTGAATTTCTTTCAATTCATGCGAAATCCAAACATCGAGCTTCTTAACGAGTCCAAGGCATCTTATGTGATATTCAATTGTTGTGTGTGATACATTTAACCTTTTTGCAATCTCTCGTACAGTTATACGACGATTCGATTCGATTATGGCTTTGATTTTGTCATCATCAACTTCAGAAGGTCGGCCAGAACGTTGGTCATCTTCAAGTGAAAAATCTTCGAAACGAAATTTTTTGAACTAATTCTGACACGTGCGTTCTGTTAAGTAATCGACGCCATAAACTTCACATATCTTTTTGTGAACTTCGGTCGCTTTCTTGCCTTTATGAAAATAAAAAAGTAAAATGTGTCGAAAATGTTCATTTTTGCACTTCTGGTCAAAATTGACAGCAAACTATCAGTTGCAAACAAAACTACGCGGAATTTGTTTCTATATAGTAACCTAAACGTGTCACTATCAAAGCTGAGGACTAATAACTTATAACCATAACAAAATAATGACAATGCAAACATAACGCTATCCCAACCCAATAGATCATTATCCATACTAACGTCGTGTTTCCTGGGTGTAGTGGGTTACTTTTTTGTTCTTTTTGTCTCCTAATTGTTCACGTATGAATAAATACCCTAGATTACTTCTTATAAAAAAGAAGAAAAGATATTGATTTTTTGATGTTTTTTTCCATTGCTCGCATCACTGTCCGCCGTTCCGATCGGTCGCCGCGTTCGAGCTGTTCCGTTTAAAACGAAGGAAGTTGTCCGGCTGTAAAACGGATAGAGAATTGGATGTATTGTCCGCGCAAACGACCACGGGGACAATAGTTGCTCGCAGATCCAACACGCTCGTATCGCTCGCGATCGAAAATTCCCAAGAGTTGTCTTAATTAGATTTGTTACGAGCACAGGATTTGTCGATCGGCCGTACGGATCGATCGTTGGGCGCAGGTCCGACAAATAGAATTGGCATCGGACGACATTTAGACCGTTTTTTTTCTTTTCTTTTTGTCGAGCGGCCCGAACACCAGAGGGTCTTTATACGGGAAGATTGAACGATTTTTCCATTCCACGAACTGGAAACGAAACTCTAAGACCGGATCGTCTACGCGTCCCCTCGACGATCGCGGTCCCTGCTTTTACCGGTGATGAAACGCTCGAAACGAGGAAAATGACTAAAGTGCTAGGAAAATGGCCGAACTCTTTGCGAACGTTCCCGCTCGTGTAGAACTCGAATCGGAATGCCGATCGGATCGGATTGGCTCGGCGAGGATCTACTCGCAACGATTATTGCCGCTATCCAGGAACGATCGCGGACGTTTCGATCGCGCGGTGCACAGCCTATGAAGCCTTAACGGCATTAATTAGACGCTTTTAATGGTATCTACGATGGCCTCTCGCGCGACCATTCCGCAGCCCATGCTCTCACCGCTTCTCTTTTATTCGTAATAACTCGATTACTCGATGCTTTTAGCCCAGCTAATTTTCACACGCTCCCCGTGAATAGCAAACCATTAAGACCGTTGAAAGCGACGCCCGCCAACGAATCGTACCACGCCCCCTTTTCGCCGTTATATTCGAAAGCGTTTTCTCGATTTTCAACGAAAGTTCGGGCTTCGTTCAGCCTCTGCGAACCTTGCGAGAAACGCGTTTGTCACTCTCCCCGGGGCGCGCGACGCGTTCTCGCGAGGCTTGGCACCCTGAGATAAGTCGCTCGTTTGATTCCTCCCCCGTCTGGTCAACTGTACCCTATATTCCGCGCTGCTCTCCATCAAACTCTGTCCACCCCCGGTATCGTCCGATCGCGGCCGATCGTTCGATCGGAGACCGCTCTCGGCCGTTTTTATTCCGTCTTTTCCCGCGTCCGTTTCTTGGCGCGTACAAACGCGTGCCCGAGCGGCACTGGGAGAGGTTTCTAGCGCGATCCCACATAATATAATAGAAAATACATAATACATGGTATAGGTTGGGTGCAGACGATATAAGCATAGCCGCGATACGGCACATGGTATGCGGGTGCCTGCGGGGGACGCGAGTCAAAGATTGATAAGGCGGTGGGCAGGGGAATCGAAGGATCCAAGAGAATCGGCGGCCGGGAGGAAGGAAGCCGCGGCGGGAGAGGGGGAAGCAATCAGCATTTCTCTGAAAGCCGGGTCCCCTGGGTGCGTGCATTATTCTCGGGAAAAGCCGGAGAAGATTTTTCTCCGGCCGCTGAGCCGTCCAGCCGCCCACCCGTCGGCGGTCCGATACTTTGCTTTCTCTCCTTTCCGTCGTGTTTCATTCTCTTATCTGTTCGGTAATTACAACGAAGAATGACCGCGAGCGGTTCCGTTGTCGGCTATATTGTACGAGAAGTCTTTATCGGCTCTTTGCTTTCTTTATCGTTCTTTCTAACTCCGTCCGTCCCGCCGCCTGTCTCCCTCTCCGGTTTCCTTTCATTACGTTGTCCGGGTCGAAAAAATTGAATTCTCGCGACAGTCGCGTCGAGCGGCGACATAGCCGAAAAGCGATCGTTGATCGCGCGAACGCGAATTCAATTTTCGATAAGTCGCGTCGCGTCGTCGCGCGAGGCCACCGGAAACGCGAAACCAGGAGCCCGGAATCGATGCTTCGAGAGAGCGTTATCGAGGGAACCGGCTGCTGTCGAAAGGGTTTGACACGGTAGTGGTTTTGCGATTGACAGCTTAGTTGGTTCCGCGTTGATGAAGTGACTGCGGGACCAGCAACTCATCCGACCTCGTTATCCCGATTCGATGGACGTGTCGCGCTATGCCATCGGTTCCCGCCCCTCGTTCTCTCCCTCTCTCTCCTTCTCTCCTCCCATTTTTTTTCGTCTCTTATCAACCCCGTCTACTACGCCCCTTTTCTCGTCGCACTCGCGTTCGCGGCAGAAACGCGCGATCATAATCCAGAAACGAGAGTTCGGGGACCGACGGGACGGGACGCGTCGGAGGGTGCGAGCAATAGCGCCGACTTCAGGAGTGGAAGGGGGGGCAAGCTAATAGAAAAATCGTGTCCGGGCGTCGAGTCGCTCGATTTATCTTAGAATCGTGTCACTGGTCCGCAAGCGTTCCTCCCGGCGCTCGATTGTTATTCCGTCTTTTCCGATGATTTCGCGACGAACGCGTGCGAAAGACGAAAAGTACGAAAAGTCAGGGTGGCAAGGGGCGGGTAACGCGATTATGACGAGACGCGCTTACAATCGCGCCCGATGAAATTCTCGACGAGCCGCGCGCCGTACGCCCGATTCTCTCCACGAAGCAAGTCTGAACTTTGGAAAGCAATTAGTAGTACTGCTGGAGCCGAACAGTCTAGCCGGGAGAGACGGCGGTGCCTACAGTTCCGCCGAGTGAATAGCTTGATCGTGTCTTTGAAACAACTTTAACGCGGCCCGCAATCGAGGGCTGCTGCTCGTGGATCGACGCGATTAGACGCTACCGGATCTCTCGAACGTACCGGGGCGACGTTTCCTTGATACTTCGGAGGGCGGCGCTAACTAGATCCCGTTCGCCGACAATTACGCGCCGTTTCAAACATTGTTCGACCCGTGAAACGCGCGCCCCCTCGTTCCACGGGCCGTCGCGGCCGCGATATTCTTTCGGTGAAAATTGTCCGATTTTTCTCTGCGACGAATTCGCGGAAGCGACGCGTGAGAAAGGAACGGGGATGGCGAGAAGAAAAGAAAAGAAAGAAACGTCTGTCGATAGGGTCGATGCCGAGGAGGAGAAAAGAGGGAAGAGAGAAGCTGGCGCGTTTAAAAGGCAAACTGTTGCTTCGCGCCTCAACAAGTTGGTCGTCGACAAGTAAGATTAATCGAGCAACCGATCGGTTCGGCGATCGTCGCGAAGCGTTCGCGCGATCGGCCCGATTTTTCCTGGAAACGCGCGGAAACCGCTTGTTTTCTTACACGTACGTTTACCTTCCGGTTCCTCCTCCGATCGATCGTTCTGCCCTCGATACGTTTCGACGGTTCGCTGTCGGTGGATTATCTAGCTTCTCGGTTGCCGGTGACAGCGGCGTTGCAAACTGTTCGCGACGACTCGCCTAAGCGGCACGCATTGCCTTTATAACCAAGTGTACATAAGTAATGTTGCCGTCTGGTCGGCTCGTATCGCGGATCCCGTCTCACCCCGTCCAGTCCGGAATTGTCGCGTCACGACCCTTCTTCTCGTCTCGTTTGTATCTCGTTTCGTCGCGCTGTCGAGAATATTTACGACGAAAGGCGGCCGACCGGGGGGAGACCGATCGGTAAGCCGGTGTAAACGCACGATTCAGGAAGCTTCGGGATTTTCGAAACGCGTCCCGCAGCCGGGACGAAAACTCGACTCGCTGCCCCTTAATTTCGGAAGGAGAAACGAAGCGAGAGGAGAAACGAAACGCGCGTCGTCGTCGGGGCGAGGTGTTTGCGCGACGAACGGCAGAGGAGAAGGAAGGCGAGAGGCGGAATGGAAATCGAAGCGTCGCCGCTGCTACTTTGAAAGGAGGCGATTGAATACAAACAGGAAAGCGAAATAAAATTACGTGTTCGATATCGTCTAAACGAATTTACGAGGCCCGGCGAGAGTCTCGCAGCTACCGGCTGGAAACGGAATTCGCGTTCCACGGAAATAACCCTGACGATCGTTTCGCCTCGGCTTCTTGCTCGACGGCATCGTAGATTGCCGGACGAGAACGGAAAGATGAACTCGGCACCCGTCGACGACACGGTCAAAGGTGACCGGGGGGGAAGGGGAGACGGAAAAAGGGAGTATAGGAGGCGGCAGCGATGGTGGAGGAGGGAGTAAACAAGTGTTTGGAAGAGGGATGCGCAAAGAATGCGGAAAGAGCGAGAGAAAAGACGACGGGAGAGCAGAGTGTCCGACGGCGACTTCTCGGTTACAGGGTCTGGCGATCGAGTAATCGTATTATAGCCGGTAATTACGAGACCGCTCGCAGTGGTACAGGAGAAGCCTGCAGCTCGGGCAAAGTACAGGGTAGGGTTATGCAGATTGCTTTATAACCTAGTTACCGATCGCTCTATTAACGTCGCGAGCTTGATACCAGAGATTCCGCTATACCTTTCGAACCACCTTCGAAGGGGCGCGCGCCGAAAGAAGGGGGAAAGATCCAAGGGTGGTAGGAGGATAATATCTGCGCGTCGCGTTCGATATTACTCCGTTCATCGATATTTTCGCTGACATCTCGATCTCTGTTTTTCGCGGTTTCGTTATCGGCGCGCGAAACCCGGTCGCCTCCGCGAGATACCGAGTGGCCGTCGTCCCGTTCGTAGGAGAGAGCTGCGAATGACACGCGGAAATGAGGGTAGAACTCCCCGAGGACGAAAATCTCGATTAGGAAGTTACGCGATCCGTCGCAAACAAAGAGTAGTAGTAGTAGACTATCCGGATGAAGGCCGATTCCGCACGCGAAAGGATCTCTCTCCTCGATCGAGATAAACCGCGAGGACGCGGCCTAAAAAACGTCCACGCAAAATGTAAAACGTGCCGCGTAATCGTGCGCGTAAACGGTAAAGCGAGCGTAATCGATAATAGCGCGGGGCTCGAAGATCGCGAAAGGGCGTCGTCGTCGTCGCGTGTCGATCGAGAGAGGATCGCGAGGCGAGAAATCGAAATTGCCGCGGTCGGGTATCGTTTGTCTCCGCGACAGCGATAAACGAGAAACAGAAAAACGGGCGCCGGTGTTATTATTGCGAGGAGAATAGAAAAAGTTTGTTTCTTACCTATGACGGGCCGGATCTTTGATAGGTACTGCGGCGATACGAAGATTTACGGCCGGGCAAACGGTGCAGCAGATCGGTTGCAATCGGTGGGTAGACGGTTGGCTGGACGTCGAGGAGCAGCCGTGCTTCCAGGTGGAAGCTCCGCGGCCGATTGAGAGCGACGAGAGCAGTAAGGGTGCATCTCACCCCGATTTTTCCGGCTCGGGGCCGTCGCACTCTCTGCCCACCGTTGTCCGCGTTCGCGTTCGCGTCCGCGTTCACGTTCGCGACTCCGCCGTTTCTTCGCCCGTCACCCTGTGCCCTGTCCCCGATCCCCCTATATCCCCTGTCCTCTATCCCCTATTTCCCTGTACCCTGTGTACCCCCTGTATCCTACATAGTCCGCGCACCCACTACCCGTTAACCGTTAACCGTTAACCGTTACCCGTCACCAGCTGCCCGTCGCTCGTCACCCGTCCTCGTCCTCTATTCGCGATCCTCGAAGATCCAAAGTTTCGCGACCGAAAGCGCATGGTCCATCGCGCCTCCGGAAGCCCCCACTGTTCTCCTTTGCTCCCGCCCCTTTATAGTTTCGCATCGTTCACCGATCCGTTTTCCTCCTCTTCTCTTCGCTCTGTTCCGCCAGCTACCACGTTAACGCTGTCCCTACCCCTAATACTGCACCCCTACCAACTTTATCCCTATCGTCGTCGTCTTCGTGGTCGTTCTACTCCGTTCTTCCAATTCGATGCATCCTTCGTCTCTTTCTCTCTCTCTCTCTCTCTCTCTCTCTCTCTCTCTCTCTCTCTTTCTCTCTTCGTATTTCCATCGCCTTGATCGCCCCCTGATTGCCTCGCTCGTCTCGCTTGTTTTGCTCGCTTTCGACGTTGCTCGCCCGAGTGCTCGCGAATCGCGTCGATTCGCGCACACCGTTAACGTTGCAAGCGTTTGCCGAAAGTCTGCGAATCGTTTCGACCGAGACGGGCCAAAGGGAACGGAATTGTTCCACCGCGCCTAGGATGCGGAGAGCTTCGTGGTTTTCGGGGGTAGCCGCGATCGTGGAACAAAGAAGTATTCGGCGATAGACCGCCGTACGGATTACGGCGAAAGCGGGGGAGGACGAAAGAATGGGACCGAGCGGATCGGGGGAATGCGGTTCGAGGTCAGAGGGAACGCGAGGCTTCCCAGGAATTCTTGATACGCGGGCCAGGATCGGGGCTTTATTAAACTGCCTTTCATCACGTTCCATAAACGAAGACGCCCGGCTCTGTCGTCCTTTCCGTCTCTTCCAGCAGCCGCCGTCGCCGCTGGATTGCCGGCGTAAATGACGAGGGAGAATCGTCGTCGATCGATGAACGACACCCAAAGACGATAGGCGCTCGACGGTCGACGAGGCTACGTCTGAAATTCGTTCGACGGTCGCATACGTTCCCGATCCGGGGCCGGGCCGGGCCGGGCACGTTCGCCGTGTCGCTTTGACAATCGGCGACAATCGACGTCGGGGTGTTCGCCGAGCGAATCTTGCGAATCCAAGTTTCAGTTACCACCTGTGGAGCCAAACCGAAAGCGATATAGAGATTCCAGCCAGGAAGCCGATTCACTTGTTGATACCAGGAAACTCTAGGGGAAACGCACGAGGTACAACTTGTTGCTAAACCGTATTATCGGGTCGAGTTCTCGAATGCTTCGAATGCTCGTTCATCGGGAAATTAAAGACACGCGTGTGTCGTCGAATGAGAACCGCGTCGCTGTTTTTAAGGGACAGCATTTCGCCATGCATATTCCGTTGCGTCTCGCCGGGCAGAATCGCGCGAAATATCGTCGACTGGTCGATCGTCGACGTTCGATAACAGAATTTCGAATGGTTTCGATTCTTTCGCCGGCTCCCGAGAGTCCTTTTTTCAGCGGTTACCGAGGTCGAAGGTGGCGAGGAGGAAGAAAAATCACGGAGAACGTAGGACCGTGGTCTGAAAGGAGATAGAAGGTCTGGCCTGTCCACGGCAGCCACTCCTCTATCACGGTAGACCCATCTTCCGTGTAATTAATTCGAGGAGGAACGGATGGATCACAACGGGGGAAGAATGCCTCCAATGGCATCGGCCACTTGCAGCTTCTCTCTCTCTCTCTCCCTCTCTCTCTCTTTCTCTCTCGCTCTCGCTCTCGCTCTGTCTCTCCCGCTCCCTTTCTTTCCCCCTCTTTCTGCCGTCTATCTTTATCTATCTACCTCCCCTTACCTCAACGCCGTTTCTTTGCCGCTGCACCGGCTGAATCTTTGTCTAGTCCTCCTACCCGTACTCGAGTCCTCATCCTCTTCGTTCCTTCGGCCGGCTCTTTCTTCCTCGATTTCGCGCGATCGTCCGCGATTTACGAGGGCGAAACACAACACGGACAGATACGTATATACAATTCGGCGGGATTCGCGCAGACACGAATCGCGAGATTACAGAAAACCCCACTTAACGGGGAATCGCCGAGCACAATCCGATGAACAAGGGCACGTCGACCGACCGGGCACGGCACGGCGCGGTCGCGACGTTAAGCGACTCGAACCTTCTCGGCGGAAATGCTTCGGCAAAAGTCTGCTGAATACGGAGCGCGTTGCGACAAGCTCGGGCCACCTAGACGTCTCGAGAAATTTCCGCGCTCCCAAAGAAAAGAACTGAACAACCGACGAACGTGATCGTCGCCAGAGAGGCCGATTATCTTACCGGATGGGAAGCGCGCGCCGATCGTAACGAGCAAAGTAAAACGGCTTCGAGACTGGGAGGTTCGCGTCGATCGAAAGTCAGCCTCGTCGAACGAGAACGTGGCTTTTACACTTCCGGCCAATACTCGGCGTAGCTCGGTGCTTGTTCTTTGCCGGCGGCCGCGTCTCGATCGAGAAGAATCTAATCGCGCTACGAAGATTCTTGCCGTGCTCGGCAAACAACGAATACGGTGCGATGCGACGCGACGCGACGCGATTCAGTTCGATGCGATGCGACGCGATTCAATCCAATGCGGTGCGACGCGACGCGATTCAATTCGATGCGATGCGACGCGACGCGTTTCAATTCGATGCAATTCGATTCGATGCGATGCGATGCGACGCGACACGATGCGACGCGATTCGATGCGACGCGATTCGATGCGATGCGACGCGATTCAGTTCGATGCGATGCGATGCGACGCGATTCAGTTCGATGCGATGCGATGCGATTCAGTCCGTCGGAAAGGAAAGAGATCCTGACAAATTAAAAGCACACGCACGCGAATAGCGAGAGAAGAGAGGGACGTAAAGAGAGTAAGAGAGAACGATCGATGTCCATCACGAGCGGTGAATTACATCGAAACCCTTTTCTCTACCACTCGGCTTTCTTTTGCGATTCCCTGCACGAGTTACACTTTGCGTCGGTTGGTCCTCTTTCTTTCCGCCACTCTTCTCTCTCTCTCTCTCTCTCTCTCTCTCTCTCTCTCTTCGTCGTAGACACATCTACGCAGCCAAGATTATAAAGAAAAGTCGAAAAGCCAAATGGAAACCAGAATATACGACTTGTACAGAGTACAGAGACAGTAATTGCAACGAACGCGAACGATTGGCTCCCCGTGTAGAGAATCGTATATCTCCGAGAGTTAACGAGTTGGTTGTTAATCTTATCACGGGGCGCCAGTCGACCGCAAAAACGGAACTTCGCCGAATCGAAATTTCGATTCCTACGCTCGCCAAGAACATCGATCTCGAGTATGCTATTAACCTTTTAAGTACGGCTGAATTCTGCGCGAGGCTATTTCTCTGGACGGCAGAGTCTGATATGTACTGTACAGGGTGTCCGAAAAATGTCTCGCAATCCGAAAGTGACGGGTTCCTCGGGCCATTCGAAGCAACTTTTTCCTTTACAAACATTTTCTCCGAGGCACCGTTAACGAGTTATTAACGAAAAACGGTGACCAATGAGAGGCGAGCTCAGCTGGCGCGAGGCGATCGAGCCAATGAGCGGAACTGGGCTTCGCGCGCTGGTTGGCTGGGCCGCCCCGCGTTAGCCGTACTCGATTCTTATTGGTCACTGTTTTTCGTTAATAACTCGTTAACGGTGCCTCGGAGAACATTTTTGTAAAGGAAGAAGTTGCTTCAAATGATCCGAGGAACCCGCCATTTCCGGATTGCGAGACATTTTTCGGACACCCTGTAGACTGTTGTAAATCGATGTGAAGACAAAAGAAGCGTGAAACAACGCATTTGAAGACGATTATTTGGTTCAAGCGATGAGCGAGTGAGCTACTAGAGCAAAGCCACTATAGTGGCGCGTCGTCCAGAGAGATGACATCCGTGAAAGCCACTATAGTGACGTGTCGTTCTGAAAGATGACATCCGCGAAAGCCACTATAGTGGCGCGTCATGCCTAAAAGATTAATCGCCGGAGCCTATTCTTTATGTAAGATGCTTCCGTAAGATGATCCGTCTTCGATCGCTTTGTACATACACGCGCGAACGGGAAAAAGCGAAGAGAAACGCACAAGAAACCGACCGATTGATATTATATTTTGGACGTACGTCCCGTTCCATCTGGTGGTCGGCCGTGAAAAAGCGTCGCTCTCGAACTGGAAGACCCGGATAGAGAGGACGTCGCGGACGACGTGGACCGACTTGGGAAACGCGGTTTCCCGCGGAAACAGCATCATCGACGAAGAACCGACGTATACCCTCCCGGCTGTTATCCGCCGAGAAGTTGCGCTTATCGACGTCGAACGTCGACGTCGAACGCCGGCGTCGGCGTCGGCGTCGGCGGCGTCGGCGTTGGCGTCGGACAGCGGCAGAAAATTCCGAGGGATGGCAGGGCGAGAAGATCGATCGCCTGCGACGGGAATTGCACCCCCCTAGAAGGGGTCGCGGGCGGTGTGTGGCGTGCTGTGCAACGTGCAGCCGTGCGGCGTGTAGCGCGCAGCCTGCAACGTGTGCAACGTGTGCAACGTGTGCGACGTGCAACGTGGTACGAAAGCAGCAGCGCGTCGAAATCAGAGCCAACGAAGGGTGGGCGGAGTCGTCGTGGCCGTGGTCGTGGTCAGAGTTGTTGCTACCGCCGCCGTCGTCGTCGTCGTCGTCGTCGTCGTCGTCGTCGTCGTCGTCCAGCTGAAAATTAGCGAAAGCAAAGACCTAACGATCGTAGGCAGTTTCGTCGGCTCGAGCTGCGAGCTGCGAGCCGCGTGCAACGGAAAGTGCCGAGGAGTCGAGGAGACTGAAGAAAATACTGCGGGCGGCGGTAGCAATGACGCGTCACTCCTCCTGCCCCACGTTCCTCGCGGCCCAACTCGACGCTGTCGCCGATACGTGATCAGTCGAGTCCAAAGACGTTTCGCGACCGCGGATTCGCCAATTGCATCGGAACGTCCTGATGGTGAGCCCGCGTAAGTAAATCCCGATTTATCCATCGCTTCGCCTCGCCTCGCCACGTCTCGCGAGAATTCCTTCCGGTACACCCGGTTTCCGTCTCTTCCGGTAACCGGCAACTTCTGGTCCCCGACCTGGCCCTGGGGCCCCGGCCACAGCCCCGGTTCGCGTCCTCCCGGACCTAACCCGGGCCAGACCCACCGATCGATATTCCATACTTCTTGTCCTCGTTGCCTCTTTCCGTTTCTCTCTCTCTCTCTCTCTCTCTCTCTCTCTCTCTCTCTCTCTTCCCCTCCCGTCGTGTCTCTCTCTTTCTCTCTCGTCGCGTATGTGTGTGTGTGTGCGCGCGCGCGCGCGCGTGTGCGAATTTGCTTCTCTCGTTAGAGAGCTATCTCGATTCTTTCCACTCGTCTCTTGGCACTTGCCAGCATCGCCAGCCTTTTGCCAGTGCAAGGTCTTCTCAATCTTTCCAATCTCTGTTTCGATCGCCGATATTTCCTGGTCGAGATCTCGACGTTCGAGAATGCCAGCCCCTTTTAACCTTTGCTTCGCCCCTTTCTATATTAGCCCGATTCGATCGCCGCCCTCGTTCTCGCCTTCGATATTCCCTAGAACGAATCGTAACTAACTCCGGCTTCTCGTTCGCGGTCGCGTGTCGCGCGAACCGCATCGCCGGCTCCTGATACGCGGCCGACTATGAAGTTTTCCGATTTACCTTGAAAACGACAACGCGAGGCCGACACGCGTACCAGCTGCTCGTATTTGCGCGTCAAACGTGCGAACCGTCGCGTTTCCCGGCGCTCGATCCTCTCGTCGGCCGCTGCCTGTCGTCGCACGCTACATACGATACACGCGATACATACATGGTATAACGTGTGTATATATATATATATATACATATACGATACACGATACAAAATATATATATACATATACGATACACGATACAAAATCTATGACATACGATACGCGATACAAGGTATACGACGCGTGTAATGCGCAAAAGACTTGTTAACAAACGGTCGCAACGCGTTCGCGTCAATTAGCGGCCGATGAATAGTCGTCGAGCATTTCACGGTGGGCACCGCGCGAGATAAACGCGACGAGAAGGCTGAGACAGAAGCGGCGAGGTGACGGAACATAAGCGTCGCGGCGCGACCAATCAAGACCGCCGCGGAAAATCTGTGCTCCCGCTGTCTTTGGATCATTTTCTTGAGTTCCGGTAAAAAAAGACGGTTCGCGCGTGGGAGAGGGAGGAATCCAAGGTCCGAGAGAGAGGGAGAGAGAGAGGGAGAGAGAGAGAGAGAGAGAGCGTGAGCGTGTAAAGCACTGGGAGAGCCGCGAGGAAGGAGGAAATCGAGAAGGTTAAAGAGTTTTATCGTAGCTCGAACTCCTTGCCGTTCAAGTAGTCCGGCTTCTCTCCTCCCTCCGTCCTCCTTCCTTGTTCCTCGTTCCTCTCGTTTCTCTCTCGTCTTCTCTGTCTCTCCTGCGCCACTCTAGAGCCGTTCCCCAGCCTTCCTATGCTCCTTTGGTTCGCGAAACGACGATATCGTTGTGGTTGGCTCTCGTTCTCGCGGATATCCGCATTGTTTCGCATCAGCCAGCCAAGTCAGCTGACCTAGATTTGCACGGGCACGAAGCAAAATGGTATATCGGGCCACTCGATGCTCGTCTACGGAAAACTGCAAGCGATCCTGCAACCGAAGTGGTCTCGACGACGGCTTCGCGCTTCTTTTCCCCCGCTCCTCTCTCTCTCTCTCTCTCTCTCTCTCTACGCGGATCCGGTGCGTCGTTGTGATCGTTCATTTTCAACCCTTGTTCGTCGATCGCCGAACGTCGTGCCTACGAATTTTCCGCGAGTTCCGCAAGTTGCGGGTGTTCCGCGTGTTCCGTGAGTTTCGCGAGACTCCGCGAGGTTCCGCGAGGTCCCGCGACTCGGCGAATTTCAACGCGGAACAGTAATTCGCGCGTTTTCCTCGCCGGTTTCTTCGTTCCTCCGCGTTGTTCAACGATCGTTCGACGATCGGGGGCTGCCGCAAGCGCTGAATAACGGCTGGAGCCTAGACGAAACCCGTCGAAGAGGTTGGAGCTGCTCGACGGTTTCGATTCGTGTCGTTCTACTGCCATGCTCCCAACGGCGGAGCCATCTCTCTCCCCTTCTCTCTTTCTCTCTCGCTTTCCTACCCCTCTACCGCGACGAAATTACCGCGGGTCCGCGTGCCGTACTAAAAATATATTGAACATCGGTGAGACGTGTTCCACGTTCCACGTGCATCGGCGATCACGGGAGAAACACTCGAGAGGAGCCGGGATCGCGTTGCTTCCACCTTGTAGGTGGCGGAAACGCGGTCATCGCGGTCGCCTCGGGAGGATAGTCTTAATAACGGCGACGAACGATCGGCGGGACGAAAGGCTGCTGCCGCTGATTCGCGCGGAATCCGCTCGATCGTCGCCGACCCCGGTGCTCTTTTTCTTCGCAGACTCCGCGAAAATGAAAAGCCGTTCGCCGCCGCCACTTTTCACCGAATCAAGATAAAGAGCGGGGCTCGCCTTGAACCGCGGATACCACGCGACAACACGAGCGACCAAGGATGGGCGCCGAGAAGATTTGCGGCCAACAAATTCTCCGGCTACGAAACAGCGTGAACGACAGCTTCGCGGCGAGCAAATTTCTGGAAAAAGTCGAGCAACGGCTCAGCGTAACGTCATACTTGTTTCGGAACGATCGCTCAGGAATGTCAGGATGAGAGGTAACCGAGGACCACGAGTATTCGTAACTAGACCGATATTATCTATCGATCGTTCACCGTTTCGCCGGCATTGGCCGTTCGACCCCGAACGACCGTTGCACATTGCGGTCGATTCGAGCCGAGAAAGCGGCCGAATACGAATTTCAAAACGTTTGCACGATCCAACAAAATTTTCGTTTCTCTAGATAGCAAAATGTAGGGAAAATAATGTACCAAACTTTTTGTTGTTGTTTTTTTTTTAGACAGCAGTGACATGTCTTGAAAGTTTGAAGATTTTCTGGCTCTGCTTTCGTGAAAACATCTTTCGTTCGCTAACGATTTTTCAATGTTTTAAGAAAACTTTACAGATTTGCATTGCTTCTTTAACACGTATATTTGCGTAGTTATTGAACTTCGAAAACAGAGAATAATCTACTCACATCCTGTGCGATTCTCAAACTTCGTTAACGATTTTGTTACACTTCCGAGTTCGTCCGAGCATTTTGATCGATGTCATTGTATTCGGGAAAGATTCGTTATTACGACGGCGTTAAAATTTTCTAACAGTGTTATAATATAGTATAATATAACAGTGTTACAGCTAATTGAAGTTGAAATGTCGCAGCGCTTTGCGCGGATGCCTGAGCGTCCGCGCTCACGGGGCGTTTCGTTCCGAGTCGCCAAGACTGAAGTTTATTGTTTATTGTTTATTATTTAGTCCATCTAGCCCAGGGGTGTCAAACTCAAAAGCTAACTTGGACCGAATAAACAATGCTTAACTTTAGGTGGGCCGCAAAAAAAAATCAATGTTCATAGAAACAAATATTTTTATTTTGACTAGTACATTGTAATAAACATATATAAAGTTAAATTATTGTTTACGTCCTGATACTTGACATCAAAAATGTTCATCTCGAGCCGCATGCGGCCCGCGGCCCGCGAGTTTGACACCCCTGATCTAGCCTATTTATACGTAAACGGATATTTATAGCTTGTAATGGTTAACTAATATCAAGAATTTCTTTCGAATTAACGTACCTTCTTTACACTTCGATTTTACGCTTTAGACACCGATTTGATACGATAAAGATCGTATAAAGCAGGGGTGTCAAACTCAAAAGCTAACTTGGGCCAAATAAACAATGTTTAACTTTAGGTGGGCTGCAAAAAAAAATCAATGTTCATAGAAACAAATATTAGGTCTACCGGAAAGTTCTGTCCGTTTTTGAATTGAAATATAACACAATTTTCATACATTTAATAATATTTATTGTAGAATATACTTTCCAACGTTACTTACGACTTCTTGCCAGCGTGATGGCAACTTGTAAATGCCATTTTAAAAAAATGATTTATTTTTAGAGGCGAAGAACTCAACTAGTGCTTGGTTGACATCAGCTTCAGTTTTGAATTTTTTTCCTGTAAAAAGTTTTGCAAAGAGAGAAACAAGTGATAATCGGAGGGCGCTACGTCTGGGGTGTATGGTGGATGTGACAGAATTTCCCAGCCTAGCCTGCGATTTTCTGACGAGTCGCCAAAGCAGCATGTGGTCTGGCAATATCATCGGTAGCCTGGTTTTCACGATCGCGTCTCACTTAATAATGACACGAGACATCTTTGTTTCAGTTTATTTAGGAGAGTACATGCGTGTAAATGCAATGATAAAGAGAGATAGTCATATATGTCTCAAATCAACATGTGCATATGGATTGAAACTTGAAGTGACACTATCGGACAGAACTTTCCGATAGACCTAATATTTTTATTTTGACTAGTACATTGTAATAAACATATATAAAGTTAAATTATTGTTTACGTTCTGATACTTGACATCTCTCGCAAAGATGTTCATCTCGGGCCGCGATTTTGACACCCCTGGTATAAAGGATTAAAAAGTAGGAGGTAATAAATTGCATGAAAGTAGTATCGCATTTAAAAAGGCGTAGCCAACACGCGACAGACTATGTATGTATGTATGTATATCGTTCTTCTTTCAGGAGGGACGCTGCTGGGAGGAGGAATAAGATCAATCCGTGGAACTTTTCTAAGAACGTTGATAGTCATTTTCCTTGTCACGTTTCTTTGGCTTCAAATTCACGTGATCAGCCTAACCGGTCGGGACTCTACCGGCCATGCCTCCCCGAACGAAACGCTGTTCGCTCTTGTACCGCAAGAGTTGCACAGGTAAACGAAACGTGTTTCGCAGCGAAACCGGGTAATTAGTCCAAACGAGAATCGAGAATCGAAAAGCGACGCGACACGATGCGACGACGCGCGAACAGTGGACACGGCGGTCGACAGTCGGTAGCGCGCGAACCTGTAGTAGTATTCTATGTAGATAGAACAGAGTGTAGGGCAGGGATCCTAACCCTAATCTGAACCCGGTTCTGCTCTCAGTTTCCCAGAGTAACCCGCCTAAACGGGTTAACCAATAGGTAGAAGTTTGGTTAACCCGGTTAATCCGCTCTTATGACGGGTTAACGCGTCCCAAGAGAATATATTGAATTTGATCAGAATATTATTCATTGGAGAATTCGTTTGTATCTGTATATAATTGCGTCCATTATTATTAAAAAATTATTTTAGTCCAGAGAGATCACTGTGCGATGTTTGCAATACTATTGGGTTGGCAACTAAGTAATTGCCGATTTCAGTTATAGATGTCTCTCACTCCCACTTTTATGATATCCGTAAATGTTATATTATGAAATTATTATTATTATTATTATTATGTTATTTTTTATTATCCGTGAATGTTAGCACCTGGACAAATTGAATGCAGCGGTCAAGGAAAAGCGACCAGAATTGGTCAATCGTAAAGGTGTCATTTTCCACCTTGACAATGCTAGGCCGCACACGTCTTTGTCCACTCGGCAAAAATTGATGGATATTGCTTGGGAATTGATGTTACACCCACCATATAGCCCTGATCTCGCGCCATCGGATTACCACTTATTTCGATCCCTGGACAACTCCCTTCGTGGTAAAACTTTTAATAATGATGACGCTGTAAAATCTCACTTAACTCAGTTTTTGGCCGAAAAGGATCAGACTTTCTACGAGCGTGGAATTTTCAAGTTGTCGGAGAGATGGCAAAAGGTCATCGAACAAAATGGAAAATACATTACAGATTAAACTTCGTTCCAAGTAAAAGAAAAATTTTTATTTCATTGAACAAATCGGCAATTACTTAGTTGCCAACCCAATATAATGTCAAGCAACCTATTTTATTAATTTATTTGATGCGACATTCTTTGCGGCAAAGAATAAAACATGCTATTTGCTATTCGCAGCAAGAAGCGAAACGTGTTATTTTACGCGGATAAAAATGATCCGTGCTAGACGAACCACTAAAATGTACTGGTTTTCGCAGCGAAAAGCACAATATGTTAGTGCTCGTCGCTACATATAAAGAAAATGCTACTATTCGATAGAAAAATCGAAATGTACCACTTTTTCTTGTGCATAAAGTCCTCCTAAGGAAACTGAAACGCGTCGCTTTTTGCTAACGCGCGTCGATTTGATAAAACGATGACTTGAAATTTACAAATCGAAAATAACTTATCGTTAATCTTATTTTACATCCATTGACAAGACGCGTAGATTTCACCTCGTTCGCATTAAATTAGAAGTACCGACGAACAGGATGTTCCATTGTGCGTATATTATATAACCAAACGAAAAAGATACGTAAAATGAAATTATTAAACGTGTCAACTGGTAAAACACGATCGAAATACTGAAGGCCGTAAAGCGCGCTTCTTCCGCAACTGATAAAGATAAACAAAACAAAAGAGAATTTCCCTCTAAAACAGTTGCAATCTAGAATATAACACGTTTCTGCGCGCCGATAGACGACACGTTCGTAGAACATTCCACTAGAATTCGATGACAACATTTGTCTAATCGAAGTAAAACAATTAGCAAATTCAACCATTCTTTTCGTAGCTTTATTCCATAACTGCAACAGATTTCAGGAACGGATTGATCGGGTTATCAGCACACAGCCATTACATTTACCTATCTATTGGGTTGGCAACTAAGTAATAGCCGATTTGTTCAATGAAATAAAAAAATTTTTGTTTACTTGGGATGAAGTTTAATCTGTAATGTATTTTCCATTTTGTCCGATGACCTTTTACCATCTCTCTGACAACTTGAAAATTCCACGCTCGTAGAAAGTCTGATCGTTTTCGGCCAAAAACTGAGTTAAGTGAGATTTTACAGCGTCGTCATCATTAAAAGTTTTACCACGAACGGGGTTGTCCAGGGATCGAAATAAGTGGTAATCCGATGGCGCGAGATCAGGACTATATGGTGGGTGTAACATCAATTCCCAAGCAATATCCATCAATTTTTGCCGAATGGACAAAGACGTGTGCGGCCTAGCATTGTCCTGGTGGAAAATGACACCTTTACGATTGACCAATTCTGGTCGCTTTTCCTTGACCGCTGCATTCAATTTGTCCAGTTGCTAACATTCACGGATAATAAAAAATAACATAATAATAATAATAATAATTTTACAATATATAACATTTGTCTCTCACTCCTATTGGAGTGAGAGACATCTATAACTGAAATCGACAATTACTTAGTTGCCAACCCAATAATAGCCAGCTATTGTAACCTTTCCGTAGTAACGAATTGCGTCATGTTACCCGCCCTTAACGGGATAACCCGCTCTCCGGTCGACTTGGGAGCCATTCTCCCGCGGGTTGCCGTGGATGACTGTAACCTACCTCGTTTAACCGGGTTATGGTTAGGACTAGGTGGCGATTAGGATCCCTGGCGTAGGGTAGAGAAGGAAGACAAGCAAAACAGATTGATCGGTTTCTCGCAGGTTTCTGAAGGATCGTCGAAACGGTTCGTCCTCCGCTCCGAACGGTAGCTCGGAGGGTCTTACAGAGTTCGAGATAGCGGAGATTCGACGGAACATAGAGAGAGCGAATGCCGAGCAGAAAGTGTACAACGAGGAGGCGTTCGGCCCGCTGGCCACCGACGCGCCCGTGATAGTGGTCCAGGTGCACACGCGTCTCACCTACCTGAGACACCTGATAGTATCGTTGGCGCAGGCCAGAGGCATCGAGCAAACCCTACTCGTCTTCAGTCACGATGTCTGGCACCCGGACATCAATTATCTAGTGCAGAGCGTCGACTTTTGTCGCGTGATGCAAATCTTTTATCCCCACAGCATACAGACGCATCCGCACTCGTTTCCCGGCGAGGATCCCAACGATTGTCCGCGAAACATTCGCAAGGAACAGTGAGTAACGTCTCTTTTCTTGTTCCGCGATAGCGACTCCGCGGCGGCTCTCGCACGTATCTCAACTAGCGCCGTTCGTCTCGACGATCGTGTTCGGTTTCTCGGGTGCATGGTGCAGGGCCTTGGAACTCGGCTGCATCAACGCGAAACATCCGGACCTCTATGGCCACTACAGGGAGTCGAAGTTCACGCAGACCAAGCATCACTGGTGGTGGAAGGCGAACCGCGTGTTCGATCAGCTGTCGATTACGAGAAATCACACGGGCATGGTTCTCTTCCTCGAGGAGGACCATTACGTCGCCGAGGACTTTTTGCACGTTCTCAGGCTGATGGAACGCACCTGCAAGCACAGCTGCGAGAAGTGCAACGTTCTGTCATTGGGAACCTATCTCAAGACGTATAATTATTTCGCCGATTTCAGCCGGAAGGTGAGAATCCCCCGGACTCGCGAGCACATTCCCGTATTCGTTTTCATTCCTCTCGTCGACCCCGCGCCGTGGTTGTTCCACGTTAGCTGCATCCGTCACGAAAAATTCATTCGCTTCATACACGAAACACTTTGTGTTGGTCGATCGGTATGCGTCGCCTCGTCTCGCCTCGCCTCGCCTCGCCTCGCCGCCAAATTCAACTTCTCTCAGCTTCTCTTTACGTTTCTCCGCCATCTTCGCCCTTCTCTCGTGCTTTTGTTCCGCGACGTCCGCTCTCTGGTGCGTCCGGTCTCTTTCGTTCGATTCCCGCAAACTGTGGGAAAAGAGACCGCGATGATCGGGGAACGGGACATCTTTGGTTTTTCGAACAATCCGTCACGAAATAGAATCGGCAGCGGTAGTAGCAGCTAGCGAGTAGGCAATAGCAGTAGACCGGCATTCGTTGCGATAGAAGGAAGAGCCGCGGCCGGTAAGCGATTCGATGTCGCGAGATAAAGGGGCTGTACCGAAGTTACGCGAACGCTGCTCCGGTTTAACCCTTTGCACTCGAGTGGTGACTCCGAGGCACCGCTAAAATTGTTAATTCACGTTCCAAGATCATTTCTATATCGATTAAGTTTAAACTTAAAAAATTGTTAAAAGTATAACTGTCATCGCAAGTGGTCGCAAGACTCAATTTCATACGCATAAAATGCGCTTTGTCGTATAAAACGGAAATACTATAAGTCAGAAAAATTATTTTAGATTTACAGTTCAAATGGCTTCGAGTGCAAAGGGTTAAAGAATTTCAATTGGATACGCGTCGACCGTATGTAAATATAACCGTGTGTGTAGACGGCTTTATCAGAACCGAAGATTGAAAAGATTCCGAAAATAACTGTTTCGAACCGTTACATAAGGCGTCGCGCGTGACTGTCGCCACGACTTTTCAAGCACTTTCGACTGTCCGATAAAAAAAAGAATGTTTCTAGTGAAAGGGTATCAGTATTTAGTTGGCTACATATTGAAATACAACAAATGACAAAAACTTATTGGTTTTCGACTAAACCTTAATTTTTTTTAATTTTTTAAGATACGATCTCGGGATTGACTTCAGCAATTTAGGGTGGAATAACAAAAGCGTTAATATCAAAAGCTGTTTTATTTCAATCAATTTATAATAAGTGCTCGTAGTGTAGTCCGTTTTCTTGTAAGCACAATTCCATTGGCGTAAGAACCCCCTCACATGCTGTGCGAATTCGCCACAAAGAATAATCCAACAAAGACAATACAGGGGACTGCACCACGAGCACTTATTGTAAATTAATTGAAATAAAATAGCTTTCGATATTAACGCTTCTGTTGCTCAACCCTGATTTGTTGAAGTCAAGGTCATTCGAAGGTCATAACAACATTCATCGGCAATAACAAAGCGAAGTGAACGATACAGAGTGTCGTTTTAAAAAGTCAAGGTGACTTTGACTTTTGGTGGAAAAACAATAGTTTTTGAAAATTGATGTACTTGAATATGTAGCCGTGTAAATACCGATTAACTTTCATTCATTTCATTTTTTTATCAGACTGTCGAAAGTGCCTGAAAAATCGTGGCGACAATTACGCTGTACATGTCGGTTCTGACTGAAACAGTTACGGAGAACCGAAAAAGTTACGTGACAGTTACGAAATATGTGTATCGATGCTGACTTATTCGGTTCCTGAGAACCGATATTATTATCGGTTATACAACTGTCATTTTCCGGTTCCGTGGATTTCGGTTATACGTGCACATACGAATGTAAAAATTCAACGTATTGGAAGAGATTGTACAACCTTAAATTTCTGTGCGGTAAACAAAACATTACATTGGCCGTAGTGCCAGCTTGTCAATAATACATACGAAGGAAATACAATTGGGATTGAAATAGAATTAGAACCGAAATCCATAACCGACATAATAACGGTTCTAAAGAGCCAAAACCGAAATCGACATACAGGGTGTCCCAGGTTTTAATGTTCAAACTTTGTCAGTATATTCTATGGCACAAAGTAAGAAAAAAATGTTATGTAAACATAGGTCATATAGAGCTTTATTAAGAAGTTATAATACATTTCGCAATGTATTAATAAACACACGGCATGTGCTGATCTATTCAAGCCAATGCTCGCAGTAATAGCAAGTTGATTACTATTCCTATTCTGAATTTTTGTTATAACTTCTTAATATAAAGCACTATATGACCTATGTTTGCATAACATTCTTTTCTCACCTTGTACCATAGAATACACTAACAAAGTTTGAACATTAAAACCTGGGACACCCTGTAATGTACCTTGTAACAGTTACGAGAACATTTCGGTTCTTCGTAACTGTTCCAAGAACCGAAACCGAGATGTCACAGCTGTTTTCAACCCGTGAATTTAAAACGCGACCGCGTATGAAAATCGTTCGACGACAGCTGCGTACCATTTGTATCGAACAGTTAGCTCCATCTCAGTGTGAATATCTGTGTGTCGATGTTTCACGCACGGCCCGACCATTAGTTCGTTGGCGTCAACAGCGCCCTGCAAAAGGAGCTCCTACGCGGACTAAAGAGATGGGACACTTCGACGGGACAGCAACAGCCGGCGAAACCGGAGGGCAGCGGCATCGTTACCGGATCCGGGACCGGGACCGGGACCGGTACCGGCACAGGGACCGGAAGCGGCACCGGAACCGGCACCAGCACCGCCGGATACTCCAGCTCGAGCGGGAACGGCAGCGGGGCCGCAAGGACCGTGTTATCCGCCGGTCGGAACAACGCGCTCACGGCGCAACCTGTTCCCGCATGGGCTTTTCAGCTCCTACCCGGTCTCTACAATCATTATCAAAAGGTTCCCGACATCTTACGACGATCCAAGCTCCAGAATCTAGCCGGGTGTTCCATCTCGTGTCCCGTGTCTTTGTTGTCTCTCGACGCTCTTGTTCTCGTTTCGCGAGTGTTACTCCCGCAAATGATGATGTTCGACGCTCGATAATTCGAAATAAGAGCGCCCCCCCCCTTCCCCTCCCGCCGCGATTATATTCTTCCCTTCCCCCTTGCCGACGGACGGATACGCCGACGCTTCCTGTAAACGGATTTCTGTCTGTTACCAACAGGCCGAGGTGATCTCTTGGATATCGAGCAAGCATAACATGGGCATGGCGTTCAATCGCGTCACTTGGAACAAGCTGAGAAAGTGCGCCGCGCAATTCTGCGCGTACGACGACTACAACTGGGACTGGAGTCTGCAGCACATAGCGCAGTCCTGCATGCCGCCGAGCAAGGGAGCCGGGGTCTCGCCGCGAACCGAGTCCGGCTTGGTCACGATGATGATGAGGGCGCCCAGGGTCTTTCACATCGGAGAATGGTAAGGGACGCGCGCCGCGTGCTCTACCGTCGTCTTCTTGACCAATGCTGCCGCGAAAAGTCGCGTTATGCAAGGAGTGGGGAGAGAGACTTTTGCGTCGCGTCGCCATCGTAATTTAGTAATTATACAAAATGTCTCAGAATCTGAAAATGAAGAATTCTTGAAGTTATTTGGAGTAATTTTTTCCTTAACAAAAATGCAATCCGTGGCTTCGTTTACGATTTATTAACGAAAAACAGTGACCAATGAGAGGCGGGATCAGCTGGCGCGAGACGGCCGAGCCAATGAGCGGAACTGGGCTCCTGTCTCTTATACACATCTAGATGTGTATAAGAGACAGACGAAAAACAGTGACCAATGAGAGGCGGGATCAGCTGGCGCGAGACGGCCGAGCCAATGAGCGGAACTGGGCTCCTGTCTCTTATACACATCTAGATGTGTATAAGAGACAGACGAAAAACAGTGACCAATGAGAGGCGGGATCAGCTGGCGCGAGACGGCCGAGCCAATGAGCGGAACTGGGCTCCTGTCTCTTATACACATCTAGATGTGTATAAGAGACAGACGAAAAACAGTGACCAATGAGAGGCGGGATCAGCTGGCGCGAGACGGCCGAGCCAATGAGCGGAACTGGGCTCCTGTCTCTTATACACATCTAGATGTGTATAAGAGACAGACGAAAAACAGTGACCAATGAGAGGCGGGATCAGCTGGCGCGAGACGGCCGAGCCAATGAGCGGAACTGGGCTCCTGTCTCTTATACACATCTAGATGTGTATAAGAGACAGACGAAAAACAGTGACCAATGAGAGGCGGGATCAGCTGGCGCGAGACGGCCGAGCCAATGAGCGGAACTGGGCTCCTGTCTCTTATACACATCTAGATGTGTATAAGAGACAGACGAAAAACAGTGACCAATGAGAGGCGGGATCAGCTGGCGCGAGACGGCCGAGCCAATGAGCGGAACTGGGCTCCGTGCGCGCGTTGGCCGAGCCGCCTCGAGCCAGCCGAGCTCGCGTTTTATTGGTCAATGTTTTTCGTTAATAACTCGTAAACAAAACCGCGGACTGCATTTTTGCTAAGGAAAAGTTCATTCAAATGACCTCAGGAACCCCTCCATTTCCGCATTACGAGACATTTCTGGGACACTCTGTAATGTTCACACGGTAGACGCGCCACGCCGCTGTGCGGGACTCCCGACGCGCATGCGTCGCCACCCCATTCTTTGCGTAGCGACTTCTCGTGACTGCACTTGGTCTTGACGGCAGCCCGCGCGTACCTGTGAACCGCTTATTCGAGGCCCGTTCGTTGTTTTTCGTTCCAGCGGAGTTCACCACAAGAAGACGAACTGCGAATCGACCGCCGCGATCGCAAAGGTTCAAAACGTGTTAAAGACCGCTCAGCATCATCTTTTTCCCAATCAACTGACGCTGACCGTGGCTGGCACTGCGAAAAAGACGAAACTCAGAAAGGGCAACGGCGGATGGGGGGACATTCGAGATCACCGACTGTGCTGGAACATCACCGTTTACCCGGATCTCGCTCTGCCGTGAAATCGAAACGCGACCGAGTCGCTGCGCCGTCTCTCGACGGTTCGTCTCAACGGTTCGCCCCGACGTTTCTGCCACGGCACCACGGCTCCTCCGTACCTCGGATTCCCGTGGAACGCGAAAGCTAATCGCGCGCTGCCTCCGCGTATCCTTTGATTTCCAACGAAAGACTCTCCTTGTACAAGTTCCTCCGGCGAAACTAGACTCGCTTTCACGCGATTCCTGGGTCGAGCCTCTTCCGTATCGTCGCAAGATTACTCGGACTTGCACGCCTAGCGACTCGATTACTAAATTACGATTACGCGAACGCCGTGCCGGCGTCCGCCGTTTTTGTCACGAACATCCGCAACGAATCGACGTGACCCAGCGTATAACTAGTTATCATCGCGACTCGAGCCTATGCAAGTAGCTGTACATTTACTTTCCCCGCCGTTTTTTCTCCCTTTTAAACACACGTACACACGATACATTCACACGCACGCACGCACACGCACACGTACACGTATACACGCGCGATCACGCACACACGAGACCTCTCTTTATCCCTTTTGTCTCTGTTTCTATTCATCGAAGAACCCTAACGCGCGAACGAACGAGCCACAAGAGAACGTTCGCGACAAGTCGAATCGCGAAGCGACCTCGCGAGAACCTTTGCCATTCACGAACCGAGTCGAAGTTATGTCGAGTCGAGTCGCGACATATACATAGGGTACATTTTATATTTATAACGACGTCAACGAAAATAAACGAATCGACCGATTTTCTCGTACATGTTTTTATCGTTGAAACTTTATTGAATCGCACCAACGTGTCTCCATCGATGCTCGTAGCGCGGATCGTATCCGAATCTGGGTTCCTCTTACAATTAGTACCACCACCTTTATCGCTCTATGTGTTCTGAAACGACGGGCCGGATGTACCGGAAGCCTGTGCCGCGCTTAAAATCCTAGCAGCTTCGCGTACTTCGGCACATTGTCGTCGTACTCCGCTTTCATAAAGTTTCCCGCTATCGGACCCTCTAAATTGTACTTCTCCGCGAATTTCTTTATAGAGAATCGTCTCCTCTGTTGGCCGTCCCTGCAATCACAACATCGTCCCCCAATTAGCGTATACCGCGACGCGATCGTCCCCGGCAATTGTACCGTCTTTCACCTGTTGCTCAGCCTTCTCTCGTCGAACGTGATGGATCCTTGATTCTGTTTGTAAACGAGGAAAACGTATCGATGCTTTCCGGTCCCTTTGGGTGGCGCCGGGCCCACGTATTCGGCGAGTACCTCTCCTTTCGCGACGTTCTCCTCCGGTATGTTTCCAACGAGCCAATGCCGGAACTCGCGATTGTAGCCCTTCCTTGTCGGTGCATCAGGATCTGCGGACAATTGCGATCGCAGCGGTCAACCGATATGTGTACCGTCGATAATACCCGATACTTAACGATAATACCCTCGAGACGGATACGATCGCGTTGATTCGACGCAATCGAACAAACAAAACCTGTTTCTACGCGTCTACTCGCTGGTCACGGTGAAAGCCGGTTCGTGCCTCGAGCCAAGGTAAAATTAAGGTCGTAATCTTCTCTCCGAGACTCGAACGAGAACGAAAGCGGATGGAAAGCGAAGTTCAAAGAACATTTTCGAATTACCAAATTCCGAGATATCCCGTTTACCTGTCATTACGAGCGTGTAGAGAACTCCTCCATCGTGTTTATAGTGGATCTGAGGTATCTGTTGCGTGTCGGTCGGTGTCAGTTCGTTTCCAAGCTCGACCGCTTTATCTCCATAGCTGACCTAATTCGTGCAACGTGCAAACCATCCGGATTAGACGTTGTCGTACGTAACCATAAACCATAAGTAACGCGTATAGCGCGACGAGCGCAAACGTACCTCGATCTTCTCGACGGGCGCCGAATCTATAATTTCCGGCACGATTTTGGCCGCCTCGAATTCCGACTGAACGTTTGCTGCCACGATTACGCGGAGACCGCAAATAAAGATTCCTGAAATGAATCGAACGCTCGTTTATTTCACGGTGATTCACAACGATTCGAACAAAGTAAGCGAATTCGTGCCTAGGGCAACGAACGTAGCTACGCGCGTTCACCGACCTATGGCTAGAGAATACATAATTTTCTTGTTATATTTGTTCGCTCGATACCCAACCGTACGAAACTGCGGTTCGAACACCGCCGGTAAAACCTTTTATGCATATATTCCTTCCACCGGTTTCTCCTTCCACGCACAGCCTCGATGCTCGATGTTCCATCTACGATCTGTGAAACCTCTCACCGGTTTAGCTCGATGCTCAACTTTTCCTTTCCGATGTCCTCCGAACGTCAACGTCGAACCGTCTGAACTCCCACCATCGACAATGCGTTTCAGCTTCGACGATTCGCTATTCCACCTGCACCTATACGAATACGCTCCTACGCGACGTTCCTACTCGTGCATTGACCGTACCGTAGACGTTCGAAATTTAGAACTCCATGTACACGATACCTGAAGCTGGGAAATGGCACACTTGCAGAGGAAAATAACAATGCCGGTTAGATAAGTAAGAGATTTAATGATACGTCGTAGGTTACATTGGAAGAATTGAGTTCTCCGCGAACAAAGGCTTCAGGGACGATTTTATCCTCCCAGCTGTTTGTAGAGGAGGGGAACGTAGTCGTCGAACTCCGCCTGGTACATGTTCCCGGCGATGGGATCGCCGAGTTTGTACTTCGCGGCAAATTTTCTTATCGAAAATAGTCCTCGGTTGTCGCCGCTCCTATTCGTTAAGCGTTTCTCGTCGAACTTCAGCTTCTCGGACTGCTTGTACAGCAAGAAAACGTAACGATGCAACCCGGTGCCCTTCGGCGGACCAGACCCGACGTATTCGGAAAGGACCTCTCCTTTCGAAACGTCCGCGCCAGGAATATTTCCTACCAGCCAGTGATGCCACTCACGAAATTTCGGATCTTTACGACTCGGTGCATCAGGGTCTAGAAAAACATGATCAGTTTTTGGTAAGATTTTCGATACGCGTGCGTGCGGCCTGTATATCTTTGATAGCAGACATTCGGGAACATTCGGGAATACATACCGGTCATGCATAGAGTATAATAGGCGTTCGCATCCGCATCCCAACTGATTTCTGGCTGATCCTTGACTTGCGTCGGAGTCAACACTTTTCCAATGTCGACGGTGATATTGTTCGGATAAGCAACATTTAGTACTTTCTCCGGTGCTTTGTCGACCACGTCCGGCACTACGCCGTGACTTGCCAACGATTCAGCCATCGAGGATAACGAACGCGCAGCAATTTCCACCAGAGATTTACTCGTAATCAATTTCGCTGAAATAATATGAAACGATATGTTCAACAGCCAAAAATAACGTGCTTATCGATATCGCGAATGACTTATGGACTCGAACAAAAACAAAGACGAAACTAGATTATCATCGATTGTAGAGCCTACATTGGTAAAATGTAGTCGTAATCGGTCGAATCGGCGAATTGCAATTTTTCAACTAAAGATTTCGCTTAAGTGTCTAAGGCAGACACAATCTACCGCGTGTCGTTGAATAATTTACGTAATACTGAAAATCCAGTAATTATCGTAGCTCGTCTATCCAATTGATTCGTTCAAATTATGTACTTGCGGTTAATGCGAGCAGTCTCATGCTCAATCGTCACGAATACGAGCAGTTCAGCACATGTAACGTATCGAACGGTAAGAAGAAAACTGGCAGACTAGCAAAACTGGTACGGTAACTTCGATCACAAAGGCGCTACTTCCACGTACGTATTTGCGTACATATTACAGAACATACCGCAATTTGAAACTGTACCAATCACTTTGCGAATTCTTTCGTGTTCTACCAATCAAACTATACATTTCAACCTTTGGTCATTAAATTCATGCAAAATGAGGCCGCCAAAGAAAACAAGAGCACTCGCTATCTACTAACATGATACTCTATGGCCCATTCGCAGCATCGCGCAAGCAATGATTTCAATCAGGATCATCGATCAAATAAAAATGTAATAAATTAACCATTTATTAGAAAAAATAAGTTGTTAGAAAATTATATTAATAAAAAATAATATGGTTCGAATAACGCGCGGTAAAGTGCTCTGAGGCCTGGGACCACGGTGTAACACCGTGCCTGGGACACGGTGATAGGGACTGGGACTTGGGACCAACTGGGACCAACCGGATCCAACTGGAACCATGGACATCGATCGCGTTTGCCTCCTGTCGACACCACTGAATTATGACATAAATTAATGACATAGATTAGGGCATAAAAAACTAAACCAAGAGTACAGTGTTATTTAAGAGAATCTGTTGCATCGATATTATATAAAAAAATAAATGACGGTATTAAAAAATTTAATTGAACTTCGAAGTTTAGTTAATTATTATGTTAACTAATATTGTCGTTTGGTTTTCTTACACGATATAGATACAACGGATTCTTCTCTGAACAGTTCTATGCCCTCGGTTTATTTTTTCGTTGCTTAGTTTTGTCATAAACTGTTTTTAAGCTGCTCTCCATTATGCATATATGGTCCGTTAGTTCCCGACTCGTATAGTGCCAATTGGGATAATGGATAAATACTCAAACTGTTAACAAATCGACTGTTGGTACTTTGGCTAACAGTTTGAGTGTTTTAACGCTATGTTAATTAGCGCTGTATGGACACTGAACGAAACTTCAAAATTTCACCACCGGATGCACCACTGTTTGGCCGGTTGTTTGAGCATTTCGCCATTAACTAATTGACGCTTACAGAGCCTTGAACGAAACTTTTCAGCTAAAGATGTTCCTATGTCTTTCAGTTTTATATAATCGAGAAAGATAAGACAAAAAGTTTTAATACATGTATGGTTTTGTGTATCAGGGCATTTAAATCCTGGCACGTAAAATAAAACATTTGGAATTGGAATTGGAACAAAGCTTCTGGATATTATCACAAGAGGCACCACTGTATCCATAAAATAATTCTGTCCGAAATTTTCATAACGTCTTATGGTAAAAGCGGAAGAAATCATGTATCATTCGTATAAAAAAGTTTAAAGTTAAAAGAGTTTTCAATTGTACAAAATTGGAGATTGTACATAACTAGAAAAGAATGGTATTCTAAATATCTAAATTTACTTATCTGATATAATCTTTGAATAATCATTGCGGTTTGCTGCTAGTTCATGTAGCAATGACTTTTTCACCGCTACGCGCAGGCTCTTTAATCACGCGGGAAGGCACATATTTCTATATTACTCTTTTTAGATATAAATTCACTCGTAAAATAAAGTAAATTATTTTAACAGGTTTTTATAATGGTTATGTGCATGAAAATAGCTTTGTTTCTCTGTCGCGAAGTTTTGGCGCCAAAAGACAATCCAGCTGGTTGGTCAATATCGACTTGGCGCGAATAAAAGTAGACAGACGCCAAAAGTGGATGACTCTGCCTATTGCTTTCCGAACATTCAAGCACCTGAATTGGAAGAGGATATTCTCCTACGAGACGGTTCTTGTAATAGTGAGTTTATCTTCATTTCAAACAGTAAGAATATTCACGATGGCACTGCAAATCTCAACGAAGGAAAATATCCTTAGAAATCTCGAAGAGATTTCACTCAAAGAAAAGGTAAATTTAGTTTTATTTTCTTGTTTTACGTTAGTTCTGAATTGTTTGTTAATTTTCCGAAAAATGTCCCGCCCTGGTTGTCAAACATTCACAGTAAAGTATATTTAATTTTATTGAAGTTAGGCAAATTTTTTCCACACATATTATAGGTGTCCATATTTTCGATAACATTTAATTTTTTCCACATTCAAATTTAAAATCTTCGTCTTCTTGAATGATTATTTGTGTATTTTTGACGAAATAAAGATATCTTTTACACTATTCATATTTATTATTTTCATTCATGACTACACATATGAAAAGTTGATGTAACATGTGAATAATGAGTCACGTGTGATCAAAATTTCTGTTTGCTTCTATATCTTATTATCGAAATTATTGTACACATTAATAATAATCAATAATTATATTTACGAATTTAGCGAAAAAGAGAATTCTTTTATGGATAAAGTTCGTGCGGTACGATAATACATCGCTATAAAAGGTTAAGTTCCACAGAGATGAATGAGTAATACAGTGATTTAATATGCACGTAATAAAAAGAAACTTAATTTTCTTCAAAACTTAGAATGTTGGCAATTTATCTACAATATAATTATGATATAATCATGAATCAATATAGGATTTTATTGGGAAGTATTGCAGTTTCCTAGTGGTAGAAATCTAATATGTTCACAATAATTACATAGATATTGCATACAATCGTACAATTTGTTGCATATTTTGTTTCTAAAATCTTTCTTTTATTTATAATGCTGTCGAGGAATTTAATTACTGCCCGTGTAAGTAGTGAGTCAAATTTGAATTTAAACAAAAAAATTTCTTATACAAACCTATATAAGTACACTGTTGAGTATTATAAGTATGAGAGGGGACATTTAATATTTTAGCCTACATAATCTCAATTAATTTTTCTTTTTCAGACATCTAAAATCTTATGTACTTCACCAACCATTTCTCATGAATATGGAACAAAGAATGGGGTAAATAGTACTATATTACCAGTAAATAGAATATATCTCCTCTTAATAATACATTTTATTTTTGTTAGTTGATTAAGACAAAAGCAGTAAAAAAGATACAACTAAAGACAGATGAATTTAACAAAGAACTGGAACCACTACTTAGAGAAAATCCTCGTAGATTTGTTGTGTTCCCTATTCAGTGGCCTGACATTTGGCAGATGTACAAAAAGGCAGAAGCTTCTTTCTGGACTGTAGAGGAAGTGGATCTCTCTAAGGTACAACATCGACATACTTTCAGAATTTTTTAGAAATTAAAGAATACTAACACTGACTTGCATTTTCTGCAGGATATTCCTGACTGGAACTCTTTAACTTCCAGTGAAAAACACTTTATATCTCATGTACTAGCATTCTTTGCTGCCTCTGATGGAATTGTCAATGAGAATCTGGTTGAAAGATTCAGTCAGGAAGTGCAAGTTACAGAAGCACGTTGCTTCTATGGTTTCCAAGTTGCTATGGAAAATGTGCACTCAGAAATGTATTCTTTGTTGATTGATACATATATTACAGACGCTAAAGAAAGGTAAACTTTCAATATTTATGTTTAGATGAAATATCCTTCATGATGTAAGTTATTTATCTCGCAGGGATTTCTTATTTAACGCGATTGAGAATTTGCCGTGCGTCGCAAAGAAAGCTAACTGGGCATTAAATTGGATAAACCATGAATCTGCTACGTTTCCTGAACGAGTAATAGCGTTTGCTGCAGTAGAAGGAATCTTTTTCAGTGGCAGTTTCGCTGCCATTTTTTGGTTGAAGAAAAGGGGACTTATGCCTGGTCTTACATTCAGCAATGAACTCATTTCTAGAGACGAGGTTCGCGAATTAAAGACTTTTTTGCACATTTGAAATTTTCTACAAAAACGTCTTTATTTTAAATTCATTCCATTTTTCAGGGTTTACATTGCGACTTCGCCTGCCTAATGTTCAGACATATAATACAGAAACCGTCGAACGAACGGATTATTTCAATTATCAAGGATGCTGTCGCGATCGAACAAGAATTTTTGACAGACGCGTTGCCTGTCGAAATGATAGGCATGAATTGCAAGCTCATGTGCCAGTACATTGAATTCGTTGCAGACAGACTACTTGTTGAACTGGGTTGTGAAAAGGTGCATAAATTTCTAATTTAGTTATTTTGTATATACTGTAAGTTACTAATCTATTATTGTTTATTATTCCATATTTAGGTTTATATGTCCGGAAATCCATTTGACTTCATGGAGCATATTTCTTTGGAGGGTAAAACAAATTTCTTTGAAAAGAAGGTTGGAGAATATCAGAAATGGGGGGTAATGCAAGACAAAATTGAAAGCACTTTCACAGTGAACGCTGACTTCTAATTTAATAGATAAAATTGTTAGAGAAGCTGGCCATTTTTTGTCTTAAAATGAATATGCAGGTATCAAGATTTCTCAAATTTATACATTTTGTAAACATTCTTTGTATATGTACCTGTGTGGACTAAGGCAAGATGGTTATCTTCTTTAGAACTGATTAACAATTTACTATAATTCGAATCTTAGAAAAAATAATTATATATATATATATTGCATATTTATTTTACTTTCGATTTGATCTTTTACATCTTGACAA